ATATATATAGTTTGAGCCCTACCTAAGCTGGTCGAACGTTTCGTTTGGGTCTGTACCCTAGCTGCACTGATGAGGCCTGGAAGGCCGAAACGGATCCGTCTGCAGATTGGGATTCCTTCCAGTGGATGCTTAGTTTACTTTGTCATTCTGATCGGATTTCCTCTACTGTTCCGTTTTAATTTTAATTTTAAATTGTTTGCATTATATGGCCGTTTGCTGTTTTATGGGTTTTTCCCATTTGCCTTTCAAACTTAAAACATAAAAGTAGCCTAAAACGACGCAATAATTATGAAAGTCCCCGAACAACTTTTACTAGCCGCTATTACAACACTCATTCTACACAACCCAGGATACATCGAGTTGAAACTGTGAGAGAAGTAGCGTTGTTTGTGAATTTAAAAAATGACCTCTGCTGACCTCAAAAATCTACGAAACCCCGCATTTCATCAATCCCCCCACAAACTGCACGTTCCACAAAAAGTTCCAACTGCATCACGCTAAAAACGAACGTGTAGCATTTTACAATTCTATTGACGTGTTTTTTTGTTTTTTGTTTTTTTTTACCGCATCATATCACAACTCACAGGCCAAATACCTTGAGCAAGGCCACTAGCCTTTGCCTAAACCAGGGTGGGCATAAAAGTCGGTCGGAGGGCCAAAGTGAATTTTTGATAAGACCGATGGGCAGCACCAAACTTTTATGTTTCCAGTGAACTTCCAAAAACCTCCAAGCACTGCTTTTATACCACTTTATTCTCAGTTGTAATACTACTTTTTACATATAATAAGTGTCGGGTCGTGAAAAACAAGGTGTTTTTAGCCAATGTTGGTTTTAAATTAATTAATGGTTTTAAATTCATTTTCGCGGGCCGCAAAAAAAATCGCTATCGAGTTGCCACTTTGCCCACCTGTGACCTAAACTTTCTTTCTCGATGTCGTAGGTTTTTAGCGTGATGCAGTTGGAACTTTTTGTGAAACATGCCATTTGTGGGGGTGATAATCTAATAAATTTTTTTTATTTGCCCAATATTGAAAAAAAATATTCATCGAATGGTTGTTATTTTTAGTATTTTGAAATACGATACCCTTTTAATTTTTTCTCACAGGCCAACGTTAATCTCCAATTGGCTTTACATCATAGGCTACAATAACGCAGGCCCTATTTTTATATTTTTTGTTGATAATGGATTCACAATCTCAATGCATTTAGTGGTGGCTCCAGAAATTTGCCGACAAGGGATCCAACCAAGGATAGGGTGTTCGGAATAAGAAAAATCATGCGTTTTTTATGGTGTAGTAGTTGGCCTATGCATTAGCAGCGTAGCAAGGTGGTATGATGGGCCCCAGTGCAATAATTTCCGTGCCCTAAGTAAAATGTACCTGATGTCATAACATTCTGAGATTTGTTAAGTAGATGCATTAACGCGCAGATATCTAACATTTTTAAAAAAATATATGGATATTGAGAACAATCTATGGTCAAGTCATGTTGTCGTTTACTATTAAAGCATTTCATGTGTCTGATAAATGTTAGAACAATCACCTACCTACCGTTGCAGTGCAGAAATCTAAAATATATTCATGAAGTTACGATGATCTAACTTAGGCTAATTCGAAAACGTACACAATACAGTTGAACCAACTTTAAAATACTAAACAAAACCCGGTACGTACCAATTATTTTATTGCTTTAGAAATATGATGTATTGTAATGTATAATCAATAATTATAGCCTCTAAAAACCTAATATTATTTATTGAAGGGTCCTTTTAAAACTTTTATTTATTTAAATCTATAGACCACCTAATGAACGGGACTCAATAGCCCCGGGGCCCAGTGCTGAGTACTGGTTGTGCTGCCCATACCTACGCCACTGCTAGTATGGACCAACATTCTGCTTTTATGTCACAATATTAAGGATTGGCAATCAAAATGACGTCTGTATTTGGATAGACAAATTCATTATTTGGTCCGACGACCTCGTATGGCGTTGGACATGGGCTCCAGGCCTGTCCGAGAGGTGGGGAATGGACAGGTTCGTTATTGCCTTTATTGTCATGTTAACATAAGGTTCGTTAATGCCTTTATACTGAAGTTACTCTCATGTTAACACGGTATTTAAGTGTAGTACTGTATTCCTGTTTAATTGTTTATCAGTTTAATTTGTATTGTAATTATGAGGGCATATCCGCTTTCGTGCTATATAATGCACGGCTACCATCTTAAGTGTTGAATAAATACTGAAGAATGAATTTAATTAACAAAAAATAACAAAAGGTTAAATGTTGAATAAATAACGGTGCCAGAAGAACAAATTATTAACAAGAGTCAATCAAAATGTTTAATACTCTTAAAATGACAACTACAGTGCACCCTCGAATTCGAAACTCTGTAATTCCAAGACCATTCAAATGTTATTTTCGGGCGTCTAGAACACAAAAATTTTGCGGACCGGACCCCTAAAATAGTGTTGTCTTGATTGGCCAAACTTTCGGGCGCCTCTCCCCCTTTTGGACATCTCTAGATCCGCCGCTGAGGTTATCAGTCATATTTTAACTCAGTGGTGGCGCCAGAGGGGGGCTGGGGGGGCTATTCTCTGTCAAAATATTAAGACGAGAAATTACTCCTTTTTTTTAACTTGCCTTAGTAACAAAATCCTAGGGGCAGAGCTTAGCAGATAGTACATCAATTATGATGGCACATGCTCATGAAACAGCAGGTCACTTTTGCTCAAGCAACAAAACACTCCTCAAAACCCAAAATAAAACTCCACATTTTCATTTATTTATGAGGAATTTAATAATTTAACACATGCTAACGGTTATGATTGGAATAAGCAAAATATGGAAATAGATCTCCATGTTTCCTTAATATTTTTACATCAGCATATAATGTTTTTTTTCCCTTTAAACAAATGTATGGTAATATTTAAACATACGAGGAAAACAATAATTTTCCACCTCACAAATGAATAATTACAATACAAAATGCATTAGTCGAACTAATATGATATAAATGGCATGTGTTATCTCCGAATTCTAAAACTCAAATCTAAAAATTATCGACGAAATGGTGAGTAAACTTGTTTGGTTATTATATGGTATAGAGTAATATACTTATCTGTCCACCAATAGCTATACACAATATTATGTTATGTACACTATCGTCGTAATTATTAGAATGGGGTAAAGTTAAACTATTGTCGGTTAAATTGTCTATATTTGTATTATGGTTTCTCTGTTTTAGTTATAACAACCACCATATAGCTTTGATAATCCCACAAACTATTAATTACATATTAATGAAACACTGTCATCCAAAAATAAATAAATAAAATTCTCACTTTTAGAAGGACTACACAAGTTATCAATTTTCACTGTCACTAGATAAATGAAAAAATGGTTGACAGATGCTTTGCAAAACTACTTAAATTTGCTGTCAGAAAGTCAGGGCACTCTGCAGACTTCAAAAATGTTATTTTTAAATGACCATTACTTTGTTTTTTTTTTTTTCCATTTAATTTTCAGCTGAACCAGAGGCGGTTCTATGGTTATCACTTTTCAAGCAAACCTCATTTGACAAACCAAACCTCCAAATCCCTTTGCATAAAAAATCATCAAAACGAAGATGGAATTCACCATCTACATGCCAATCCACAGCATTTCTGACCCCAACTTGACCTTTCCCCTAACACCCCACCAACAGGGTGCTTAGGTTCCGCCTCTATTAGGAAACTGCTGTTGTTGAATCCTAACTTGATAACCTACTAGAATACACAAAATAAACAATCTTATTAAGTAATTATTTTCAATTCAATTTTATATCTAATGATCTATTTGCACTATCAAATTTTCATCGACAAAAAACTGTTGTATGCCCATATTTAGTCATGATGTGCCTATATATGGCTATGATGTGATGTCATCATGACCATATTTGGGCATGTCACATGTTCTTATCAAATTTGATAGTCTGGACAGGGCATTAGATGGCACTATAAGTGGAGAGGGTAAAATGATACAATGGGTCAGTTTAAAGACAACACCACATTCAAAAGCTCTGTATATATGCACATGTTAGTATACGGTAAGTATTACGGTCTCTCCATTTTGGTTATAACATCATTTGTACCGTTTCAATCCTCTCACAAATTAAACACTTTAATACCCGATTTACATGACAGAAAATGTACTAAATATTAACAGGGATATCTGTTCTGATATTTCCATACCAAGAGTTACATTGCTTTCTTTTACATGACTAAATACAATCCCTGCTACAAGTTTGTTGGTTCAGATAGCGCAACGTTCAATGTAAAGATATAATGCGCCCCATAATGTTTACATACCATTCTAAATATCTTGGAACTTTACAGGCCTCTTCTGAGGTATGTTTTTTACCAAGATATGGTTGGTATTCTAGCAAGGATATGCCTTCTCACAAGCGAAATATCTTTGCTAGGGAAAACATCCTTGGTACAAATTGTTAGTATTTAGTACATTTCTGTGAAGCTGTAGGCTTAAGAGCATAAAAAAATCAACACATCTAACGTACAGACGTGGCCGGTAAAACAGAAATATAAATAATCCTACACTTTTGTGCATAATTTAAATTCTCTAACAATTTTTATTAAATGATGTTTTTAACTGTTAAGTTGGTATCATTTTCATTAATTATATTAGAAACAAAAATATGCTTTCATTTGGATCGGATAAATATTAATAATATAAAAAGTGTTGAACTTATATATAATAGTACCTACTAAAACATAACTTCCTCTTGACTATGTGAGTTGAGAGTATTGATTAAGCTAGATTTGAAAACAAATGATTTAAAAGAAGGCAAAAATAATAATAAAGTTTCAGTTGAATTGCAGTTTTATCCCTAGCCCCAGTTAGCATGGTTTTAATGAAATGAATAACACAACTGTAGATAACGAGACATATACAGCATTTGTGGATGCATTTCATCCTGTTACAGAGTTATCGCCTATAATTAATTCATTCCAATAACTGTGACTACTATACAATTTTTTTTTTTTTATTCAGTTGTAAAGATCATCATCATTGTCTGCCTCTGGGAATGCATCCTGGTTGTTCGAACCAGCTCCGGCTCCTGGGCCCTGTGATTGGTTTCCTTGATCTGGGAACCTACACAGATACAACAACAAAAAAAAAAAAGTTATTATTATGATTATTAATTCAATTGTTAATAACTATCATCATCTTATTTTCTAAAAATACATGTGCACAATTTTAAAGCAAAGCACACTTTACAAAATACGACTATCTGCCCACAAATTCATCTCGGTTCTCTGTGAGCACTTAAGGACGCTGCACCATCTGCTGATTGCTGGTGGTAGCCCGAGTGAAATGTCGTGTGTGCCTAGCCTTAAAGAAAAATTTATTATATATTAATTGCTTGCGGACACTAGGTAGATAGTTCAAAATATAACTGTTGTTGGTCAAGAATGTCACAACGTTTCTATTGAGTTGCTTCAATCACCTTCAGGAGAACAATATCTGCAGAAAATTCCAAACAAGGAAATACTTGTATGTTTGGGTAGTGAGGCTTGCTGATTGGTGAAAAACTAAACAATATCTGAGACTAATTGTGAAAAGGCTAATCCAGCCAGTATTTACTGTCTGTGCATAAAGGCTGGAAAGTCAAGTCAGTGGCATTGTTTCTAGCTTAGTGAAAGGAAAGCCCAAAAAATGGCATGGTTTCCAGTGTGGCGAGAAATGTGTTGCTTTGGTTTAGGTCCGATTAAAACATGGACAACCAAATATTGCTGATGAGAAATCCGATATCATGATGTAGTGTATCGTGTTAGTCAATTTATATAGCCTCTCTGGTCTGTCTGGAATGTCAAAATGGTAAAGTGGCTATCAGATTGGCTTTATCCCAACATAACACAATATTATTGTTTGTGGGAGTGCTTGACTATAGATGACTTTTGCTGTTCCACTCTCCTAGCATGGCCTAAGTCTTTCTTGAGCCTTGTACAGAGATCACGTCCTGTTTCACTAATGTAAACCTTTCCACACTCACATGGAATCCGATAAACTCCTGGCTGTATCTGTGCTGGTGGTTCATCCTTTTGTGTTTGAAGAGTCCAAGATAGTTTGTTGGGTGCACTATGAAACACTTAAATATCGGCTTGCTGTAGAATGCATTGAATAAGATGTGACAGCTGTCCCAAATATGGTAATCATACAAACTTTCTAGATTTCGTATCATCTTGCCTATTGCTGCATATAAATGTATTGTTTCCCATAAACTTTACCTGTAACAGTGGTATATCTGCACAGGTTGGTAAGACAAGGTATTTTAATGTACCTCCATTTAAATGCCACCAAAGAACATACATTTCAAAGATGGGGTAAGATTGGAGGGGTACAAGAATTGACATCATAATAATAATAAAAGGCAATATTAAAAAACCACTAAAACCACTAACACATTATTATCAAAGAATTGGAAAAAAAAATAATAAGAACAATAACAATAGCCATAGCTATAACAATAAGTGTATTGCACAAAAATACGTCTGACTTTCCTGATTTGGCATGCACGCAATCAAACGAAAAACACAGTACTACCACGAGTTAGCAGGCGCTCCACATATAGATAAAAAAAATGCCATTCTTTACATACAGCACATGCTCAATATTAATGACTTTACGTGTATATCATCACCAACCAAGGTTATAAACCCTATCTCACTTTTTAAGGGCGCATAGGTTGTAGTACTATTCAAGAGAATTGGATAGCGTTTCAAGGAAAACCTGAGAGTTGGACCTCTTTCTATTATAAACTCTTTAATAACAATCAATAATAATTTAATAATGACAACAGTTGCTCTGTTTAAGTCTGTGTATTTTCATGTATAATTGGCCCATGGAAAAACCAGATAATATTCATAATATTGTAAATGTAACAAACCTGAAGCTACCACCGAATCCTCGGCTCTGTTGTAAAGTTTGTGCAAACATCTCATATTTGCGAATGTCGTTATCCGTGACAGATCGTCGCGCAAACTTCATGGCTTCCTCGAAATGAGCACGGGTGATCTCTGGTACTGGGTCATCATCGTCATCTTCCATTTCCTTTTAAAAAAAAATCAATAATAAAAATTAAATAATAAAATAAAATTTTCTCTTTCATTCATTTCTAAATACATGTCTCCTAAATAATGTGCACTCCAATTGATGAACACCTCCAATTAAAGACCACTTTTCTGTGGTCCTAAATGAACGTCATCTATTTATCTTTACAATAATCATCCTTTTTTATAATTAAAGAACAAAGCTGCTAAAGACCACTAAAACCCCCATCCAGAAAGTAGTCTTTAATTGCAGCAGGCACAGTGCAGCGTCAGTACCGTCATGTAATGGATACATTGTCCCTTATCCCGCCACACTTCA